ATACTGTGACGTGACATTTTGTCAGTCATCCAGAAAAACAGCATAACGCAAGATTCTGGGTCTTTCAGGGTCAACGGGCGAGCGCATAAGCGAATGTGCGACATTATTATTTAATTTTATTTCTTTTTTGCGATTATTGTATTATTTAATTGATATTCTCTTTGTTCGATTGTTGTATTATTTTCTCTTTTTTTTTCTCTGTGTCGCTATTTAGTTAAGTTTTAGCTAACGTTAAGACGATCCTGAGCTCGGATTTCATTATTAAGTACGATCAAAGCCGGTGGCTATTTTGTCTCTCTGTGTTTGACCGCCTCACCTATCACGAGAAGAAAGAAGACGTCGCCTGCTGCGAGGAAGACATTATTGTCAGAGGAATTTGACTGGAATCACGGAAGGAGCGGTACACGCAGGTCGTATTATTTCATATTTGTTACTGTAATGTCGCCATTCTTCTGTAAATTATCGCACGATTATTGCAGACGCCTCGGAGAGAGACGTCAGCTGGGAACGGATTAACAGGCAGGACCTCCGCCGAAGCGCCGTATCCCATAAAGATCACTGGAAGATCCTCGAACGACCAGAAAGCATTTTCCGCCTTATTTGGAAAAGCGCGCCATAGCGCAAAAGGATCCGCGACACGCGAGGACCCGCGCGATTCGTCGCGGGGTCACGTGGTCGCGGCAAACCAATTTAATTGGTCCAATTAGAAAGAGCAGAGGCCGATAAGAGAGGGCCTGACGACCTGCGTGAATCCGCGAAAACTTCCGATCGGCACTTGTGCAGTGACTGGCCCTCACGAAGGACGCAGGATCTCGCCAAAGCGTATCGAGAATATTCGTTCAGGACGTCCTTGGTTATCGGCTCTCGAGGAAGCTCGACGAAGGAAGCAGCTGAGGAGGAATCTTGGTGAGGCGAGCGTTATTAGTTGTATTGTAAAGCCACCGATCGCGTAATATTTTGTGAGCGTATCGAGCGAATCGCGTGTGTGAGTTCCGCGGGTTTGATTCAGCCGATGTCGTACCGGCCAAAACTAACGCCATTGCTATTATCGATAAACGCAGGCCGTTCGCTCGAATTAAGGAATTTACATGCTCAGAGTTATCGCGTTATTGCTCGCCCGTGTCACTGCCAAGTCAAATTGTTAATATTATTTGTTGAGATTCCGGTTGTTTAAGAATTAGAGTCGAGCCGCGTGTCACCGCTCAGCATTAGGGCGGGTTCACACCTTGACGGAAAAACGGAAAGCGGAAAAGCAGTAGTCAATTAGGTAGTCGACTTTCTGTTAGTTTTGTACTATTTACTACCAGCGGAGTTCTGATCGGGTAACTGCTCTTCCGCTTTCCGTTTTTCCGTCAAGGTGTGAACCCGCCCTTAGGCTGTCGGTTCGCGGAAAGTTCAGAGAGTCGGACATTTTTAAGTACCGCCGTCGACTACCTTGCTATCGTTCCTTCTGTAATAAAGTCAACT